GAGGAGGGGAGGAGGAAGTGGTGGAGGAGTCTGCTTGACTGGGGGTAACCTTTTGGGCGCAGGGGGAGATTGCGGAGGGGGGATAACTTTTCTCTGAGGGGCAGGTGATTCTGGAGGGATGATGATCTGGGGGTAAGAAGGAAACGGCAAAGACAGGAGAGCAAAACAGATGACAAACAAAAACAGGGGTCAGAATGAGGAAAAAGAAACGGTGATAGAAACAAAATGTGCACGTTTATTGTTTTAAATGTGAGCCAATGGCAAATACAATATATATGTGATTAATTATCATATATATTAAATATGTTTGATAGATTGACCATAGTCCCGAAAACTATCATTACGAACTCTTGGTCTCACTTAGTAGCACTGACTCCTGCTGTGCCCCTCTAATGTCTACCTTATCCACAGATGGCTGGCCCCTTTCTTCTCGTGTTCGCTGTGGGTTGGACATGACGATGACTCCCTCTGTCCTCCAATCATCCGGCTGTTGTTTACGCTTGCGCTCCACTTTCCCACACCCCAGTTTCCCCTGCAGTTCCATAATGAGTCGATCTTGCGAGTTGCTCTTATTCACAATGACTGGCCCCATTTTACGCCGTAACATTGCCTCCCTGAACATTGGATGCACATTGGAGGTCTCCTTGGTGCGCCGGATAACGTTCTTCAGCTGGAGAATAGATGATACAAAGGAGGTGTGGTCGTGCAATTTAAGTCCATGTTGGGTCACAAACATAAGCACGACAGGCCCAGCCAAGGAGGTCTCATTCAGGTGGCAAAAAACGCTCAAGCAGTGGCTTTAGAATATACTTTTGGCGAAATGTTCTGGAGATTCTGTCAGTGTATCCAATCAAATGTGCCTGCAGAAGCAAAGCACAGCCTTCCATTCCACTCAAATTCATTCTCTACTGCCAAGTCTACTTAAAAATGTACTGGTTTCCTGGCATGCCATGCTGGATAGCTGAGGGCAAGGCAACATAGGTCTATCACAAAATCTGCATGAACCAAAGCAAGGCCGACAAAGTTCTTGTATGTTTTTTGATTACATATGCATGTTCTGGGGCATATCTGCATTTGCAAAAGAGAAAAATATTCAACGTACTTTCTTTGTATTTGTCCAGTCAGTGATAAAAAGCGTATTCTTTTGCATCATCCATTGGTTGCACAAACATGACAGGCCAGGCCCTGTGACTAGCACAGCAATGTTGATCCAAGCAAGTAGGGGCGTGCGAAAACATCCTTTCGGCAAAGCTTTCGACATCAGCCACAAGTAGGGAGATTTCTCCCTCAAGCCATCTTGTAATTGCTATGCAATGGCACCACATGCATTACGCCACATAGATCAGGGACATTTCTCTTCAACAAGAAACTTCATCAAGTTTTTGTAACTTTGCATAGCTCCTTGAGTAATTACAGGAGCTGCTCTCCCAAAATAAGCTTATTTCGGCAACCATGAGATCAAGCTGCTTGAACAATTAACACAGCCATTCCACCATTATTGTCACAGTTAATTAAAATCTCAGGCCACATGACCAAATAATAGAAAGACCACATGGGGAGCTAATGCCTCAAAAGCTTATTGCCAGCAGCTTATTTTGGGAGAGACAAGTTGAGCGTCCTACTTGGCCAGAAGCAGATAGTCGCTCGACTGCAGAGGGCTGCTGTGTCGGAAGCTCCAGCGTTGCATCTGGTGTCCCGGGGCAGGTGGAGGGGGTGGGGCACTCATCCATCCAGCTGGACTCAGTCATGGGTGTGAGGGTTCCCTCTCGGCTGTAATCAGTGTAACTCCCCTCTTCCTCCTCCCAATATCTGTCATAATCTCCGGACATAGAGGAAGCAGGTGGCTGGTTCTCACTCAACTGGTTGGAGTTGGGGGCCAAGAGTTTGTCTAAAGCCTCATCTAAGAAAGGCTCCCGACATGGCCATGATAAACCCAGTGTTTCACCTCCCTGCTTTTCTCTAGGAGGGGCAGACGGCTTATTTGATGGTACAGCAGCAAGTGGAACTGGTGAAGCTCTGGGACTGTTAGTGCCTGTAACTGTGTAATGTTTTCTGATAACTTGAGCAGGACTTTTTGGAACTGTCCCTGGACTTGTAAGCCATGGGTGCATTATTGGGGAAGCACTCATTGGCAATGTTTCAGGACTATAACTCTTGGGCACACTAGAGATATTAGGGACAGTCACAGGACTTGAAATCTTTGGAACTGGACTTGAAAGTCTTGTGATTGACAATGGACTTGCGCTATTGGGAACTGTTTCTGGAATAGCACTCTTTGGGATAGTTAAAGGACTGGAGATATTACGGACTGTCACTGGACTCGCACATTTTGGAACTGGACTTGAAAGCCTTGTAACTGGGACTGGACTATGAATTCTAGGAGCTGCACTGTAACTTTTAGGGATTGGGCTTGTGTTATTGTACAACTGACTGGAGCATTTCAGATCTGGTGGACTAGGACTCTTGGCTGTTAGGATGGGACTAGGGTTTTTAGACCAACTAACAGGACTAGGGCTGTTAGAAACAATTACTGGACTGAAGCTCCTTGCAGTGGGTACTGGACTGGAACCTTTGCCAAAAGTACCTGGGCTAAAGCTCTTTTCAAGTGAATTTGAGATTGTACTAGTGCTGGTTGTTGACACTTGTACAGGGCTGTTGACTTCAGCTTCACTAGCAGGATTTGTTTTACTACAGATACTGAGGCTCTCCACATAAGAGAACTCAGAGGTGACACTGTCACCATTATCTATCTGTTGGATCTCTGAGTACTGAAGGCTCTTGGACGATGAAATGACTACAGTGGAACTAGCTGAAGATTTAGAGGTTGAACAACCATCTTCATCTATATGAAGTTCAAATGGAATAGGGGTAGAGGAGGGAGTAGAGCAGCTAGAAGGTAGAGTAGTATCAACTGAGCCGATGTTGGGATTTATAGATGGGGACATTTCTGGTGAACCAGTTAAAAATGAAGCATCTCCAGCCTCTTGATTCACGGATGACTGAGAACCAGACTAGATTCGGTGCAATGATGTGATGTTTGCAACGTACAAACAAAGACAAGACATTTACAATGGTAGAGAACAGAGAGAGACAGTGGGAAAAACAAATTGAGAATGAAGAAAATGAACAGAAAAGTTGTCTTATATACAAAGCCAAGAAGGATCAGAGTTCTCGCAAAACCTTGTTTCAGCTCATAAATGATATGTTGAATTTTGCCGTCAGACAGGAAGGCCCTGTACACAATCAGACAAAATCTAAATAATTACTAGAATTAACACTTCTTTCGACCGAGTATGACGAAAGTTAAGATAACATTTATTACTATGTGTAAATGGGATTTAACGGTAAATTGTATTAGATTGCATTAAGCTATGTTGTCAACAAAAATATGTTACTTATGCAGCGTCAACCACACAACTTCCTCTATCAATACAAGCTTTCAATTTGCACACTAGTCCAGAAAATGTAGTACAACAAGCTGAACATATTCATAAGTATTGTTTTGGTCAATTTCCAGTCGGTAACCGAAGATAAAAAGGCAGGTTAAAAATAGGAAGTAGTTGTTCTTTTCCTTAATTGATGTAAATAACAATTCCAGCTACTACATCCAGGCCATTTTAAGGTTTACAGTTCTATGTGAAATCTAAGGAAACAGTAATACAGCAGAGTATCATTTATATTTCAATTGTAAAACATTGCCAGCAGCAGCATCTATTTCACATTACAAACGCAAAAATAAGGAAAAGACACTGAATACATTTGATCCTAGAATTAATTCAACTGTTTTGCATTTCCCCAAACATCTGCAGAGCAGTTTCTAAACAGTTGCAACCAAAAATAAACATCCTCCATCCAGAATGCAAACCCTGGTGACACACAATCTACCCACTAGCACACTCACATTGCTTTGGACTTTGAAGTCAGACAGGGAGGCCATTAGCTCATCCAGCTCTCGTGTGGCAGAGGAGGCAGACATTCTGGCTTGTTGCTGAGCCGGTGTTTCCTCTTGTCCATCTGTTAGTTCTTCTGACACAACCAATGGTGTGGGACTAAAAACAGAAAGAATACAATCAACTAAATCCTTTCCACATCACATTTGACTAAAAAGTACTTATGCCCAATTTTAACAGCTGCATGCAGGGCACCAATCTATATGTTGCTTTATCAATTTCTCGCTTACATTGGAGAGGGCACAGAACTTTCCAGCTCATCCAGAAGGCTCTCTACACTTGGTCGTACATCCTCCATTCCCCGAGCTAGCACACTGCGCTTTGGCTTCTCCAGTACAGGGGGACCAGCCTTGCCCGCAGTAGAGACTCCGTTCTCCTGGACATGGTGGATGACGCTGCTGGCAGGCAGTGGGGGAGCTGCTTCTTCTATTGAAGAATACATGCTTAATTAATTACCATCATCTACAGTGCATAGTTTATCTGTGGTTTAGTTTAAAGGTCCCCCATTATACTGTTTTATATCAATATATGATAGGTCTCAGATATATACAAAACATGCCTCTGAACTGTTTGGCTCGAAATACCAAACAGATCATTGTAGCATCCCATAATCCCCTCTGTTTCAGCCCTGTTTCAAAAGTGCTGATTCTCTGTCTGTTACTTTAGATGAAAATAAGGAGCCACTACCCACGCCCCTCTCAGAGATATTTAGTTAAAAGAACACAATGGAGCTCTAGGAGGAGATTCAGGTGATGAGGTGGGGGAGGGGGTTACCTTGGTTGGTTATTGGCTAATGATTACACAGGCCCAAAAATCGTTATGACATCATAAAGTGGCCAAAATCTGATCAGCTCATTTCCAGACAGGTTTTTATATAAATTGATCAGCGACCCAACGTGAGTGAATATTTTTTTCCTGAACTTTAAGGAACATCTCTTCACATCAGAGGGACACATGTTTGTATATAACATTCAAGAAAAAAGTGGATTTTGCCATTGAATAGTGGACCTTTAAGCCAAACGAACACTCGCAAATACAGTGGAGATGAACGCCAGTGCCTGTGTAACGCCCGTCCACACAGCGGGGTGCGTTTGAGGCTTCAAGCGCTTCTGCCCGACTTCCAACTTTGAATGGGTGACGTCACGCGTTCGCCGAACGCATTGTGGGGAGCGGTCAGCTAGCGCGTGCTCGCGTCAACAGTTTGACCAGTGTTTCAACTTTGTGAGGGCCTTCAGCAAGCTTCGAGGCAAAGAGAGCAGTGACCGTCACCCCATTCAAAGTGAATGGCCACGGAAGCGTTGACTAGCCTCATACGCAGCGCCGCTTGTGGTGGACGGCGTCTACCCACAGGCATGGCGTTATCTCCACCTGTTCATTTGATGGTGTTTTTGGCTTAAACAGGTTCACCTATCTGATGCGAAATCCACTTTTGCTTGAATGCTGTACGTAGTGACAAACATGTGTCCCCTCTGTGTGAAGAGATTCTGAGGAAGTTTGGCAGGAAAAAATATTCACTCACGTTCTGGTCCTGCATCGAATTGTCATATAAAAACGCGCTGNTTTTAAAAACACATGTGCTCTACACAGTACAGGTTAGCGCTGAGTGTTAGCGAGGCTTGCTAATGTAAACAAAAACGAGATTACGACCAAAACACGTCAGGCATTGTTTCTGATAGCAACTTTCTGTGGGTCCGCTGCCGATTTGACGTCAGTTCGGATGGAATCTGTATCTGCTCGTTGTACACCCGGTTTGAAAAGATTTGGGTACGGAGGAAAAGAGAGAGGGTTTTATTTTCTGACGCTGCGTGAATTCCCCGACGCACCGGGGACACATATGCATTTATAAAAGACATCACAAAGTGCATTTTGCATGATAAGTCCCCTTTAAGCCACCTGTTTTTAGAGCCTCTTCCCCCTGCACTCAACAATGGACTGGCCAGCATTGCTATAAATGCCTGCAGTGTGGAGAGGAAGGCTGTGTGTATGTGAGTTGCTCTTGGATAGAAGAGCACACAGAAAGTCACCCATTTTGGTGACGTTTTTGATTTGTTCATTAATGCTAGATTGTATNCATCATTTTTGCAGGCGCCTGTGCTAAATATTTTTGTATTAGCCTACTTTTTGGCAACAGATCGTTTCTGCGTGGAGAGTTGATTTCTTGATTTAGATCAGTACTCTTTGGGAAATAGGGGGTAACATATTGGATTATTCCCTGAAACTTGTTCTTCAGGCAATAAACTGTTACCAATCAGATTTCAGCTGTGGTCTGATGGGTGCTGTGATTGGCCATTACACCTGTCTGTCTTCTAAAGGGAGGCGGGATTTATTTGCTGGCAGACAACACTCAGGGCTTAAGTCAACAGTGTTTGGTCACTGGAACAACTCAACATCAAGTACATGGATTTCAAGGCAATATTTGAAAGTAAATCAAGAAATGAAGCAAACAAGCTGATCTTCAAATTCCTCAAAAGCACTGGTCTGAGGACAAGGATTTAGTATGAACATTTAATAACTCAACAGTAGGTGGCGATATATGCTCCAAGTGGAAGCGATTGGCCATTAAAGAAAAGAAGAAGAAGAAGAAGAAGAAGAAGGCTGTGTGTATGTAAGTTGCTCTTGGATAGAAGAGCACACAGAAAGTCACCCATTTTGGTGACGTTTTTGTTTGTTCATTAATGCTAGATTGTATCTGTATATTTGATTAATAATACACCTTTTTCTCATCCTAATTGATTTTGTAACCCATCCTAAAACTATGTATATATATATATATTTTTTTTTTCCACATCAACCTGCATTACTAGTTTTTGCGTACCCTGGCTTCATACCCCCTCACCCAGCGATAGAGAATAGAAATCCTAGGTTAAATAGTTTCTGGTTCTTCCTCGTGTCCAGCTATGTCACTATCATGTCAATGATGGTGAATTGATTTTCTTGCTTAGGGAGATAAAGGCCATCGAAACACGGAAACGCCAGGGTGGACAGAAGAAAGGATCCTGTGGTCGGAGAGATGAAGTTAGGCTTTGATACTGAACGTACAGAGGTGGAGAAAGTACTTGTATCTTGTATTTAAGTAAAAGTTGCAATACCACAGTGTATGAATACTCTGTTAAAAGTAAAAGTCAGATGTCCCATTTTCTAATAATATTATGTTTTGATTGTAATTATTGATGCATTAATGTCTTTACCACAGCTGGTAAAGGTGGAGCTCATAAATTAATTTGCTTAGTGTAAGGTAGCTTGTGGATTTATTTATTAAGGTATAAAACAAACGTAGTGGAGTAAAAGTGCACTCATTGGTGGAAGAAGTACCGGTATTCCGAATTTTGACTAAAGTCAAATGACCTTAATGATAGAAAACTCCATTACAAATAAAAGTCCGACATTCAAAATCTTAAAGGAAGTTTTATCA